ATAATATTGGTACCCATGTTCTAGATAGACCATCTATGGTGGTGATTACTTTGCTAGAAAAAAAGAATAACTAACTCCAGAACAGACTAGTTAAATAATGCATGTGTTCAGTCACTCATCAAATATTTACTGGGCATCCAACTATCAGGATTTGTGCAGAGAGGACCCAGAGAGGGAAGCTAACTAATCAGGAAAAAGCCTCCCTCCTTGCCCTCCTTTAGCTTTCAATCTAGAGTATGATGCAGCATAGAGTTCAGGTTACTTCCTCTAAGAGTTTTAAATGAACAGTATTAATCACCTCTCATAGAGACTGATCCATGGAAGAGTTAAAGGAAAGAAATAAGGGAGAGGAGGAGAAAGAAGGAAAGGAAAAGAGAAGAGAGAAAAGAAGAGAGGGAGAAAAAGGAAGGGACATGTGTTGTAGTAAAGGTATGTGTAAACTCAGGAACTGACAATGAAGAAATAGATTTTGCAGAGAAGAAATCCTCTTGAAAGAAAATAAATACCAAATACAATGGCACCATGGCTACTGTAGTGGCTACACGTTAACAAAACACTAAATTGTGCCCAACAAAGGAAAATAAGAGCATGGATCATTCTAGGTGGGTGTCCTTGAAACTGACGCAGGTCCAAAAGCAAAGAAGTAGGAGGACTAGTTTGCTGTTACTGAAATCTTAACACTAGAATGCTCCTTGAGATTTATTTAATTTGTTTCCATACACAGAATGTTGCAGTGGTGTGCATGGGGGGCACTACTCATCCTGGCTGCCTTTGCAGGAGTCAGAGAACTGAGTCTTTATGAGCCAGGTTTTGCATAAGCAGGACTCATCCCGACATCTTAAAGCACTTCACTCACTTTGAAGTGAACTTGGCTTCACTCGGAGACATCACACTCTTTCCCAATAACCCCTGCTGTCAGTGAACTCTGTAACAATCACAGCACATTGCACAATGCCCTCATACCTCTTGGGTCCTCTGTTTCTGAAAAATACCATTCTGGGTTGTCAGTCAAGGAAAGGCAGGGCATAAGCAGCCTAGCCTAATCTGTAACAAAGAGCAATGATATCCCTGGTTTCAAAGCTGTCCCGCCACAGTAGTGGGGCAATCTGTCAAGACCCTGCCTGTGGAATAGCTCTCATCCTAGATTTTGTTGCAAATGACCCAGGATGAGAAACTGTCTGGGATCTTCCTGGCCTATTTGCTAGACCCTTCCGTGGTGATTTTATTAAAGCCGTACATGTGGTTGTTACACAGGAGATGACTGAACTTGTGGACAGCCTGGTTCATGAATTCATTTATTCACTTACTCAGCAAATACTGATTAGTACCCAAGTATCAATGTCTGTTCAGAGAGCTGGGACTCAAAGGTAGAAACAAACCATCAGGCAAAGAACTCAGTCAAGTAGCTTTCAATCTGGAACACTATGGAACATGGAAGTCAGGTTTGCACAAAATTCTGGTCCACTTTGTTGTAGTAGTATAATTTTGCTGAGGTTCTGGTTCCTTTTCTACTATTTGCTATTAATAACATGACCTGCATCTGAAGCACTCTATGAGAAGTAATGAGTTAGCAATCCCAAAGCCAAGTATGTGAGCAAGGTTGAGCACCCAGTGCTGAAAACATTTAAGGAATGTTTAGCCATTAGAGTTTTAACCAGGGTAGATGCTCCAGCCTTTGATTGCTTATGAACGAAGAAATGGAATAATTCAGTCCTGCAGATATTAAAGTTCACAGGAAAATTCCAAGGCCCAGTCCATGTCTCCTTATGCTTCTATAATAGAATATCTGAGCCTGGGTTGTTTGTAAGGAGCACTCATGATCCAAGATTGAGGCAACAACAGAGTCTATGCCTCTGCTTTGAAAATGATATTATTGTCCTCTAGTAGGGAACACCATGTGTCCTTACACAGTAGAAGGGATGGAAGGGATGGAAGGGGATAACTGCTTCTTTCAAATTGTTTTGAGTGCACCTAATCTACTGTCATGGTGCAGTCACCTTCTAAAGGCCATGCCTCTTAATACTGTTTGCATTGGAGATTAAGTTCCAACACAGACTCCCAAGAGAATCAAAATACATCAGCTTCTGTGACAAATAGACGGTTTCAAAGTAAGGTGTAAAGGTCAGAGTGAGTGGGTGTCAGAGTGAGAATCAACCCGCAGAACTAACACGTCATACACTTGAATCACAAGAGCTCTTGAGAATCTTCCAGAGCAATGGTTCTCAATCTGTGGGTCATGACCCCAACAGGGGTTGAATATCAGATATTCTTTATCAGGTATTTATATTTTTACAACTCATAACAGTAGAAAATGATAGTTATGATGTAGTAGCAAAAGAGTTTTATGGTTGTCGGTCACCATAATATGAGAAACTGTATTAATAGGTCACAGCATATGAGAACTACTGAGCTACACTGTCCTGAAATCCTTTATACGGAGCCTGATATCACACTTTTATTATCCCAGAAACTCACCTTTCTACCTGAAATACCCCAGTACCAACTTTCTCTGAGAAACTAGACCCTTTTAGCCTCCATAAAGCCCCGAACGTCAAAACTTCTCAATTCAATCAGAGGTAAATTCGCTAAACTCTCACCGTTTTGGGCACTTCATTCCTGTGAGCAGTCTGACGTCAGTGTTTAGAGGCGCAGTCAGAGATGATTGCCAGTGTTGCCCTGTTAGAGATGGGGAAGGTACAGTTTTCAGAGACGGAGTCACCTGGGCAGTACCAAGCAGAGATAAACATGTAGATTTGAATCGTATGTCTAACGGCAGAGCTGGTAAGCCTTGCACTACTTTGTTCTGTTGCAAGAAACAAAAATAAAAACCAAACTGCAGCAGTAGTAACAACAGCAACAACAACAAAACCCAGGAAATTAAGAATTGGACATATTTGTAGAGGAAGTACATGTCCACCTAAATTTATATATTGAGTGCCACTGGGCATCTCCTTGGAGACTCCTTGGAACTTCTCCCACTAAGGGGGCATGGTCCCTAAAATCCTGCCATTGCAGCTCAGTTCCTTGGCTTGGCCAGTGAGGTGCATTATCTCTTATCTACTATCTTGGGATTTACTGCTTAGAATCCCTCCATGTAGCCTACTCAAAGCCATATTGATGAACATCACCTGGTCCTCCCTCAGGCCACACCTTTTGACTTTCTTGTCTCTGCCACATCCATCCCCTCATCTATATCTGGCCAAGCCTGATGATGGCCAGAAAATGCCAAACAGGCACCTTTTGAAATGATAAGTTCCTTTGCACTTAACCGTGCTCAATAAATCTTTTAAAATGCAACGATAATGCACAAATCAAGAGCCATGCACTGTATTAATTTACTGTAACTGGAATGTGTTTTTTTTTACCCTTTTACAAATTACGCTTTTTCTTTTTTCATATTTTTTTATTTAAAAATTATTTTTGATTTTACATACCGACTCCAATTCCCCCTCCCTCTCCTTCTCCTGCCCCTCATCCCCCATTACATTTTCAAAGCAAATGGAGTTATGCTTACTTTTGCAATTATGGCATACACAAATTTACTTACTAAGTTGTAGCACATTCGATGTATCTGAACATTTGAGGATGAAGGATCAATGTTATTCAACCTTTCCTCAAGCCTTTGGACACTTGGGAAGTGGGGCCAGAGGAGATACCAGGCATGCACTAGGGCTCTCGAAATGATTCCCCTATGCTTTACAATGAAAAGGGTGGCATGTATGGGAAGTGGGAAGGGATAGTGGGTGGTATGTTTAGAAAATAAAATTGTAGGAAGAGAGTGAAGATAGAGCTATGATTTCAAGGGTTGTAATTTAATGGTAACAACTAATTTATATTGAGTCTGTTTTTAAAATGTGTCTTAAATTCTTAAACAATAATTTAAAAACAACAACAGTTTTTTCAGTTCAGATACTGTATTTAAGCTCCACAAGGTTTTTTGTTCATTTTATGGGAGGTTTTTTCCGTGGGGCTTTTTTTTTTTTGGTGGGTTTTTTTTGGGGGAGGGTGTTGTTTGCTTTTGCGGGAGTGTGTGTTATTATTTATCTTACAGACACAGAGACAGATGCTAAAAATGTTTAAGGTCACATCTTCATTAAATATAGCGAGTGAAGAAACAGCAACACACTCAAGCATGTGGGTTTGGCAGACCTTGCCCCCCCCCCCCCCATTCCCATTGCCTTGCTAAAAACTGTTTGATTGCATTCCTAAAGCTAGCGACCAAAGTCTATTCCCTCATTTGGCCAGTTCTTTCTCCTGAGGATGACTACCGAGGTCCAGCTAATGAAGTATTGAAGTCCAGCAATCAGAAACCCCCTTTGGCTCACCTAATTAACATGCCCAATTAAAATTTAAAACCTCATCCTAACACCGGGTTTCCTCCTTTGCCTTTACAAACTGACATTGACTTATGTGCCAAATCTGTCTCCTCTCTATCCAGAGGCTGTCTTTTGTCCCTTTGGGACAAATACTCCTGCCCCCTTCCTTTCCCTTGTCCCTTTCCCTGTCTCTCTACTTCCTTCAGCATGGCATCCTAGCCCATTCTAAAACAGATTTCCTCTGCTTCTTTTAAAATTTACATCTGCCTGAATCAGAAAGCAGCCACTTTAACTTTTGTCTGTGAAAACAGGTGTTTCGGTGTGGTTTGTGATTAATCCGGGTAAACCCCCGGCGTGCGGGAATACCCTTCAGTGGGGTCCAAATCCAATCTTCCTGGCTCTGCACAAATCAAATAAGATTGAGAATAGGCAGAAACCAGCAGAACACACGGGGGCGGGAGGGGGGCGGCGGTGCGCACAGATACCATTAGGAAGTAATAACTCCCTACGATTCTTTAATCTGGGCGGGCGACTGCCTTAGTATGACAAAACAGTCCAAGAAGTGCCACAGGTGCGGACAAGGAGCAGGAGTAGGCCAGGATCCAGGTGTTCCACTTCTGATCTCTTTCCCGCTTCTCTTTGGAGATCAGGAAACTCCGCGCCGCCTGACCTCCTGCGGCCACCATAGAATCCCCGTTGCCATGGCTCCCGGATTGCGTCCAAACGCAGAGGCGCTGCTGTGAAGACTAAAGGGAATCCTTCCTCGTTGTATTTCACTGATCAGTGATCCAGAAAAGCACCATGGGCCTGAGTAAGCGACCCCCCCCATCACCCCCTTCCCCTTTTTCCCCTCCTCCCACCGGCAGGACCAGCAGCCTTCAGGTGCCTAAAGCTGGAACCAGGCCCTCTGCGTTTTGCTCAGGTCCTCTCAGGTCCCCTCAAGACCTCTCAGGTCTCAGACCCACTTAGGACCCTTGAAGTCCTACCATGACCTCACATTATCACGTAGTTCTCCCTAAATTCTTTCAGGGGTCCTTGGAGTCCCATCGGGTAAAATCTCTTCAGGTCTCCTTAGGTTCTACAGGTCCTCTCAGCAGCCGGTCAGTCTGTGAAGTGGGCACCATGGAGAGAGGGAGTTCAGGACAACCTGTTGGCTTATCCTTAGTACACGACTGGTTAGGCTGTGAAGTCCTGGGTCACACTACCACCACCTCACCAAGGAAGATAGGGCTGCCTAATGAAGGAGGGCACCGATTCCAGATCCATGCTTTGACACATACCCTTCCCCATGGCCACCCTATGAGCTCGATGCCTTTGCTCTGGGACCTCACCTTTGAGCCTCAGCTGCCTCATTTCCACAACAGAGTTTTATTATATAGACTAAGTAAATGTGAAAGTGTTTATCTAAAACTATTAAGTGTCTGCAAGGTGATGGATGAGCAGATACTTTTAGATTAGATTGAATCATTCCTGTCACCAAGACTTTTTTGATGCTGAAAACTTTTTGTTGTTTCTTGATGTCTGATGTTTTAAAAATAATATTTTCATATATCATGCCTGGGTTTAGTCAGTGGAGTCTGGGAGTGTGAATCCTAACCTGGGACTCCGTTATGCCTGAAGCTAGGGTCTGTCGCTCTTTTACCAGTTAGCCTGCTTCTGGTGCTCAGCTTTTTCTGAACTATAGTTTCAAGATGAAAATCTCTTTATAGCCTTCCATTCCTTTTTTTATGGTCTTCACGCTTAGCCTTTAATAGTCCATTAGGGTCTCTCATCCTTTCCTCAGCAGTTGTGTTTAGTCAGAACTTCTCAGTGCAACTGCCCTTTAAATGGCAGGACCAATAGGTCACACTCACAACTGTGTTTCCTTCCACTGATATTCCATCACTGCTAAAACCAGAGCAATTCTCCACAAATGCACAGCAACCGTGGGCCCAGCACTGCCTGTGCCCCACTGACTGCCGGTAGTGGGGTCCGTGTTGCCATTTTGGCAACAGATTTGAATTCAAACCCACATCTTACCTAACACATGCTTCAGTGGACCACTTTGAGTATCCGTGCTGGGTGTCACTGAAAAGGTTGGGCTCCCCAAGAAACAGAGTTTTCATGTTTAGCATGCTAGAGATTTATTCTGGGGCATTGTTGGGAAAGGTAGGCAAGAAAGCAAGATTGGACAGGATGGATAACGGAAGCCAAAGATACTCAACTCCAAGGGCTCCAAACTTGGAATGCACTTTCTGATTTGCTCACGCTGAGATAAAAGACTGGGCCTCAATAGGCTCTTAACAACAAGTCACCCATTATGGACTTTTGTAAGCGGCCATTAGCTGGATTGGGGTGACAGTTTTTCAGCTAAGGCAACTGGAAGGGAAGAAGGTGAGCAGCTGAGGATGAACTGCTGGCAGAGCTCCCAGCAGCTGCTGGAATTAATCTGTCAGTTCTGAAGGGGAAATCGGGCAACATATTGTGTTCTCCAAGATGGCCCAGAATGCACTTTCCCCATTTGTTTGCCTGGCAAACACACATCTACACACATTTCAGGGCTCAGGCCTCTCCTCCATGCAACCTCTTCTGACCTCCCGTCTTTGAATCAGTAGCACAACCCACATTTTCTGAGTTCTTCTGTACTGGTGCTTTGTGTTTTTTAAAATGCCACAGTCACATCAATAGCCCTTAAAGGTATCACTGAATTAGGGATCAGTATGTATCCTGATGCCCATTAAGTCTATAAGAAAAAGAAGTATGTGTTACCTTGGAAATGGTATCTTCTAAACAGAAAAATATTTAGATGCTATGAGAGGTAAACTACATATTTGTAATCCTGTGTTTCTATTAAATATCTTTTATTTCACATATATAATATACATATATGCCCATATGTGTATTTCAAGATGTTTGGAAAAATCTTTGAAATCTGCTGGGAACATATTGATTTTAGTGTAATCCAGGAAGAAAGGTAGAGCTGTTTTAAAAACATGACATAAACTGTAAAGGAATGATCTTTATGTGATGGTAGAATGCCAGCCTTTACTTGAGAGTCTGAAGCTGGAGGATTGCCATGAGTTTGAGGCTAGCCTGCACTACATAATGAGATTCAGACAGCCTAGGCTACAACATGAGATCCTGAGTCAGGCAAACAAACAAATCCTAAAAGATAAATACCAAATTGTTGGCTTTGGAATTTTGTTAAATACTGAGAACCTTAAAAATCATGGAGAAGTGAACATATTGGGACATGCTCTCATAACTGAGAAGCTTTATTCTGTTGCACACAGAACCCCTATAAGATTCTGTGGTGTGTGTGTGTCTGTGTGTGTGTGTGTGTGTGTGTGTGTGTGTGAATATACATGTTCATATGTGTGAGTACAGTTGTGTGTATGCCATAAAATGCAAATGGAGGTCAGAGGACACCCTCAGATGCTGGCCTCATCTTCCACTTTGTTAAAGACAGGACATCTTTGCTATTTGTCAGGCTGACTGGCCTGTGAATTTCCATGGCTTTTACTGTCGACATGCCCCATCTTGCTGTAGGAACAGATGATAGATATGTGCTATTTCATTTGAGTTCTGGGGATTCTAATTCAGGTCCTCATGCTTCCATGGTGGTGTAGGAGGTCCTTCTGTCTTTGTGTTGATTTCATTGATTCATAAAGAAACTGCTTTAGGCCTGTTGATAGGGGAGAACTTAGATAGGCAGGGAAGATAGAACTGAATGCTGGGAAAAAGAAGGGTGGAGTAGGAGAAATGCCATGGAGCCGCCAGAGACAGACGCTGGGAATTTTACCTGGTAAGCCACTGCCACATGGCAATACATGGATTAATAGAAATGGGTTAAATTAAGATGTAAGAATTAGCTGATAAGAAACTAGAGGTAAGAGATAAGAAACTAGGGCCAAGCAGTGTTTTAATTAATACAGTTTCTGTGTGGTTATTTTGGGACTAAGCTAGCCGGTTGGCCTGCAGGAACAAGAGGACCCTCCTCCAACAACATAGCATGTGTTTTATCCACTAATCCATCTTTTCAGGCTGCACAAGGTCATTGTGAAGATATATTTTAAAGAATTAAGAGGCTGGCTAATCAGTGTTAATTCAACCTTTGATTCCTTAGTGCCTTTCTTTAGTGAGATAAGTATGTTAGAGCTACTAGTATCCTTTATTGGTCTCTCATTCTGGAGGTATTGGTTAGAACCTCCTTGCAGTAGGACATTTTTTAAGTTCCATATGAGTATTCTATTTTGTTATTTGTGATTTTCTGAATGATAAAGAAATTTTATGTGTCATGTCCTCTATACCATCCAGTAGGTGTTGCAGCACCATTGCTTTTGAAGCTGTTGTGATGAGCGTTTAATGCTGCTGAGGAATTTGTAAGGCCTAGAATGATCTCCTATAAGCACAGTACTATATTATTTGTTTCAGGATGTTCTGAAAGTGGGTGATATTGCTTAAAGTTAGAAAAATGCATAGTTTAAACTAGGTGGTATGTAAAATCACAAAATTTCTTCCTACTTAAAGCTGCAAAACACTATCATCTCCATGCACCATGTAGACATGTTTGACATCTCTTCTCAGGGACCTGAATCTAGATTTCACACTGATGTTTGCCTTTACAGGTAAGGTAGTATTAAGTAACAATTTTCTGAGTGCCATAACATAATTTGTCACGTAACAGTTGGCCTACTACAGACCTATTAAGAATTTTGACTGACTTGATCTTGTGCTTGGAATCACAGTTGCTCTAAGTTGATGAATACAACAACTTATCCTGTCCAGAAGTGAACATTTTACAGCTTTGCCTCCCATCCACCCACTTCAGCTCTTACATTTTGTCTGCCCCCTCTTCTGTGATGTTTTCTGAGTCTTGAATGATCTGGTAGAAGGCACACACCCACGTTCATATGACTTGCACTTATTGGGTGTAAGGAGTTTATTAACGACAAAAGAAGATAGCTTAAATTTTTGTGAGATTTAAAGTAGGAATGCTAAGGAGACTTGGAGGTGGTGGTAGATGGGTATGATCAAAATATAAAATGTATGAAATTCTCAGTGACTACATAAAAATTGTTAGTTTTAAAAATAGTTCAGAAAAGGGCCACTAGGAAATTTCATATAATCACAGTTCTACCTTCCTTTGTGATTCTACACTTTAAATATTTCTACTGTTATACAATAGCTGCTATTCAGAAACATTGTTCTGAGCATAGCTGTGGGATCCCTCCTCTCTGTGTGACTGGTTATCCATGCTAAAGGAGCTTCCCTCATTCTGACCACTTAAACTGATAGTGATTCTTACCATTTTAACTCCTGTGCTTAGGAAATAGAATAAACATACTTTTTTCCTAAAGTCTATCCACAATGTGCTGAAAGGGAAAATTTGGCAATCACATGCTGACAGCCTGCTTTACTTATATTATAACACAATGATATGACTTTCTTATATTGTGGGAAATGCAGTAAGAGAAGAAATTTTGGTACAAGTAGGAACCTCATCCATGTTCTAAGTGGCAAAGACTTTGAGACAACAGAGCTGGAGGAGGCTGTGAAACCTTTAGCAGCCAGGTTATCTGGGTGTGCCATGTAGGTACTCATGGATCACATGGTAATTCAGATGCTGCCAGGGTTCCCATGAGCATATTTGACTTGACTATGGTGGCAACTTTCTGTGTTCAAACTAGTTAGGTTATGTATTTATGTGGATACCAAATGAAGCCTTGACCAGAATTTGGGGACAAGATAAATAATGGACCATCAAGTTATAAACCAAACTGCTTAATAAAGTACATATTCCTCTTTTGAGAAGTATATTTTCATACAACCCAAAGGATACAGTTAATATAACTTTTCATACTCATGTGGGTCTTTGCTAGAGTATGAAGACTCACTTCCCACTTCTCCTCCTTCCCTGTCTGTATCCCCCATTCTTCCTCTATCCCATGCTCACCCCAGCCTGTACATCCAAGTCATCCATGTGTCTGGCAAATGGAAGCTCCTTGGAAGCAGTGGGTATTGGGAATGTGAACACTGTGGCATAGCCAGTTTTGGAAATGACCCTCCAACATGAATAGTGAGGAGCTTAGAAGCAGATACGGGGCTCCTTGAGTGTTGAATCTCATTGCTCCCTGCCTAGACATGGTCTAAATGGAGGGAATAATTTCTGAATGGGGACATCTTGGTTCTAATAGCAACGGCCTCCAACAATCCATCCTCTCCTATGGGTTTTGTAGTCTAAGTCACAGATACACTATTAGGCACTTGAGAGTCTAGTCAGTAGTGGCGAATAATTACATATCTCATTAAAATAGCTCTGATAATATGGGTTATGCCTCTCAAACCATAACACGAGTTGCATGCTTGCTAAGAGAGTTGTTGTAGATTGCAGATAAAGGTAATGATTTTAGTTTATACAACTGATTTGTTGTAGTCTCAAGTGGGTGGCATTACTTATGCATTGTCTGTTGATTTCAATTATTTAATAAACATGTGGGACTAAGGGTGTAGATCCATAGGTCACATGCCTAGTGGCAGACATCCTGGATTTGATCCCCACCCCCAAAGACAAAAAAACAAAACTGCGTGCTGCGGGAGTTCCTTCTGCTCCTTCAGCCAATAGCCGCTGAGATACCAGCCCATCGGGGCATGGTCTCTCTCTCTTTAAAAAAGCAGCAGCTGGGGCTGGAGAGATGGCTCAGTGGTTAAGAGCACTGTCTGCTCTTCCAAAGGTCCTGAGTTCAATTCCCAGCAACCACATGGTGGCTCACAACCATCAGTAATGAGGTCTGGTGCCCTCTTCTGGCCTGCAGACATACACACAGACAGAATATTGTATACATAATAAATAAATAAATAAATAAATAAATAAATAAATAAATAAAGCAGCAGCTGTCCTCCTTTCCCTCTCTGGCTTCTGACTCCGCTTCAGGCTCCTAGACTCCTTTCCTGATCGCACTGAGGAGCTGTTGTTTGGGACAGTAATCTGTAAGTTTTTTCCCCTTTGAATAAATAACCATTTTATTAATCAAAATTCAAAACTGGTGTGGGATTGTTTGTGACTTACGCCTTCATGTGTGTGTGTGTTATGTGTCCAGTAGGAGGGCAAGTTTAATATCCCATTTCAGTGTTTGGTTACTAGGAAGATTTTTGTTGCTGCTGATGTTGCTTTTGTTTCCTGATCCTTTCTCTTAAATAGTAGTGCAAGCTGGCTTATAAATGAGTAGTGACATTCCGGACATAGCAGAGGGATCCAGCAAGCCAGAGCTGCTTAGGCTTCCTCTTTCTGCTTCTTTGCAATACTTTTGGCTTGTCTTTCCCAGGACTGAGTTTGCAGCCGCCTTTCTTTGTCTTCTGAGACGGCCCTTAGAGTAGCATGAACATTCATCTTGGGTAGTGTTGTAGCCTCTCAACCTGCGTTCTAGAGAAGTGTCATCTTAACTCCTCTCTCCTCCCATTGGAAGGAGCATAGAGTTACATACACTGCAAACAAGCAGTGGAGTTCATATCTACTCTGTTTTCTGGAATGTGGCATGGAGTTGTGGCAGCTGATAGTGCTGTGAGGGACTTGTCTCAGCTGAATGAGTCTATACATTCAGGAGCCTGAGGACTTTCCAGAGGCTCTCACTTGCTCATGTAGAAGGTAGTGTCATTCAGTGGCTAAGAATAAGTGGTCTGTTAAAACAACCCCATCATCCTACTTCCAGAAACTGTGATAAGCTATCAGGTGTTTCAGTGTTGGTAAGGAAGTCTTGATTGCTGGTGTCAAAACAGACCTCTTCTTTCCTTCTTTCCTTCCTTCCTTCCTTCCTTCCTTCCTTCCTTCCTTCCTTCCTTTCTTTCTCTTCTTTCTTTCTTTCTTTCTTTCTTTCTTTCTTTCTTTCTTTCTTTCTTATTCCTCCAGGAAACACAGCAAATAAGAGCTACTTTATAAATCTGCGATGCAAGATCCGGAATCTGGGTTCTTCTTTTCTTTCTCTGAAGCTCTAAATGAACAATTATTGGTTAAATGATGAGTGGTCTTTCTTATTGGATGGTGGGAAAAGTTTTTTATGTTCTGTCCCTTGACAGTGAGATTGTGACTCAGTTGCTCTCTTAGATCCGATAGTGAATTTCATCCAGTTTGGTCTGGTTCCACCAGGAGAGCCTATATTCTTATTCCTGTAGCTGTCAGATGTCAATTATTCCTCCATCTATGCAGCAAAACTTACATAGATCTTACACATACAAAGACAAATGAGACCTAAGGATTTATTTTGTCTCACATCGCAGCTTTGTTCAAACTCCTTGAGGTGGGCAGCAAGCAACATTTGTCTGAAAATTGCTTGGGCCTGAAGAATCACCACATAGCTGCAAAGAAACTCCAGTGTGTTAATAATATAATAACCCAGCACTGAACAATGGGAATATAATATGCTGCAAAATTTCTTTCAGTCACAGAAGATCTTATTAGACGGAATGCTGAGCACAATGACTGTGTAATTTTTTCCCTGGAGGAACTTTCCCTGCATCAGCAAGAAATAGAAAGACTAGAACACATTGACAAGTGGTGCCGAGATTTAAAAATTCTCTATCTTCAAAATAACCTCATTGGAAAAATTGGTAAGTCTCATTCATTTGTTCTAATAACATTTTAACATTTGAGTGGGAAAAATTTGGAAAATAACTGAACAAGAAGGTCACAAGAAAAGAGATGCAACCCCCTCTCAGTAGCTGCTTGCAGAATATTTCCCAGGACTTCCTATGTATAGTTGGCCATGGTGCCTAGAGGGATGCTGTTCTGGAACTGGAAATGGAATTATGTGTGCACATGATCTCCTACCAGCATTCAAAAGGGGGTGGATATGAGTCATGCATTTGCTGTGGCTCTATATCTGTAAAACTGGAAAGATCATGTTGAAATTTAAAAGTTCTTGTCATATATGTATACCAATAATTTTTTTGTTAATAAAGATCACAGATGTCCAAGTGTTGACAGGGGTTTCTATTCCACCAGGTCCCACATCTATTTAGTCTGAAATAAACACACAGCAGCATATATTAATTATAAGCTGATTGGCCTATTAGCTCAGGTTTCTTATTAACTCTTATACTTATATTAGCCCATAATTCTTGTCTGTGTTAGCCCTGTGGCTTGGTACCTTTTTGGTGAGGCAGTCACATCTTGCTTCCTCTGTGTCTGGGTGATGACTACAAACTGCCTCTTTTTCTTCCCAGGATTCTCCTGTTCTCCATGCCCTGCCTATACTTCCTGCCTGGCTACTGGCAAATCAGCTTCTATCTAAAGTACAAGTGACAGGGTACAGACCATTGTCCCACAGAACCCAAGCTTGAAGGAAACCAAGATAACCTTTAGTTGATGAATGGCTTAATCCCTAAAATGAAGTACTATTCATAGCTTAAACGAAGTGGGTACATAATCATAAAAATACATAGAGAAACTCTAAATGTCCTCACTAAGAGAAAGCAACCAATACGAAAAAACTGAGCCGACATCAGTCCAACTCTGATGTTCTGGAAAAGGCAGAACCATAGAAACTGAAACAAGATTAGTGTTTCTAGGAGCTAATAGTAATGAAGAACAAATAAGGCATGAAGGATAATGGTGGATACATGTTGTTGTAGTTGCATATTTGTCAAAATACACAGGATGTATAATGCCAAGAGAAAATGTGTGATTGATGATATGTCAAAGTAGGCTTATCAATTAAAATGAGTCCTATAATCTGGCATAGATTATTTATAAAGTGTTGGGGACAGTAATTTGGGTTGGGCAGGGAAGGAATAGAGTATATGAGAGCTGTAAGTTTTGCTAAATTTTTCTATCAACATAAATAGGAATATATTTTTAAATGTCTTCGTGAGATTTCTACAGATTATGTTAGCCAGTAATACCATATTGTTGAGTACAAGGTAGTGTGATCAGTTTAGTGTATTAAAGTGGTTTTAGTCTGAAATGGAATTGACAGGTAAATGTAGAAGTCATTGGAAAAAAGATCAAAATGTTAGCATTGTAACTGATTATCGTAGTTACTTTTCCGTTGCTATGAAGAGATACCATAACCAAGGCAACTTATGGAACAAAGAGTTTATTGGGGACTTTCTTACAGTTTCAAAGGCTTAGTTCATGATCATTCTGGTGAGGAATATGGCAGTAGGTAGGCAGGCATGGTGTCAGAGTAGTAGCTAAGAGCTTACATATTGAGACAATAACAACAAGGCAGAGATAGACACAGATAAAGGCATGGATTTTTGAAGTCTCAAAGTCCATTTCCAATGACACACTTCCTCCAAAGCCACACCTCCTTTCCCTTCCATCCTTCCCAAACAGTACCATTAAGGATCAACTATTCAAAACCTATGAGCCTATGGTAGCTCTTATAGCCACCATAAACTAAATTGATCATGCTCTTTGCAGAACATAGTACAGACTAGTGCATAAATGGACTTGCAAGTACTGCCCTCAGAATAAACCTCTCAGTTACAGACCAAGCTGGGCACCCACAACTTTCCCCCAACCAAGTAGGTTCATGTTTTATGGCAGGAGGGAACTGGATTCATATGTTCTCTGGTAGGACATCCTGGAAGGAAGGAGGGAGGAAAGGAAAGAAGGAAGGAAGAAAGGAAGGAAGGAAGGAAGGAAGGAAGGAAGGAAGGGAGGGAGGGAGGGAGGGAGGGAGGGAGGGAGGGAGGGAAGGAGGGAGGGAGGGAGGGAGGAAGGAAGAAGACTTAGAATGCCCAGTTTCTTCTCCCACCTTACCCATTGGGGAAATTGATCTTCCCCTGTTCCTTGTATCCCTCCTTGCCCTAACAATGAATTATGGGACTGATATAAGGGTGATCTACAGAGTCATTTAGTGGGGTCCTGCTGCATGGGAACAGTGGAGACATATTTTTTGTTAAAGCAACTCTACCTCTATGTAAAGGCATACAAGTCTCTGGCCGAAAGTAGACTTGTCTATGACCCCTTCCTCTGTCACTTATTTGTGAGCTGTGTGAAAATAAACAAATCAGTTAAACTGACCAAAACTGAGTTAGAGTATTCATAAAACACTGTTAAGACACCTCTTGTGATGAGGGGTGCAGGATGGCATGTGGTGATGTGAGATTATTGTGTTTACAATGAAATAAGAGCTTTGTGGTTGAAAGCTGCCAGTCTACTGATGTTGTCTTAGCCCAGGCTGTCTTGGGTAGCCAAATGAAGCCAGAGGCAGAAGGGGGAAGTGAATAGAATTGGAAGAACTGATGAAGTGAGTTGAGATGGAGAGAATGCTACCACTGGAGTACAGGGGTCAGCTTTGAAGTTATATATAAGTTTTCAATAGAGAGCATTTAACCATAACTGGGGACATTTTGGTTATGGGAAATGCGTGCGTGCATGCGTGCATGCGCGCGCGCGCGCATGTGTGTGTGTGTGTGTGTGTGTGTGTGTGTGTGTGTGTGTGTGTGTTCGACTTGTGTAAGCTACTGGTCCTACTCAGAAGAGGCCAGGGACACTATCGCACGGGACAAGAATTATCCAGCTCAAAATGCTAGCATTACTGAAACCGAGAAACCCTGGTCATGTGGGTGCCTCTGATTCTGTGGGTAATTGAAAATTGGCACACGGATTATAAAAAGCCCAGATTTGCATCATTTTAGAAGATTTAGGAAAACTATATATTTCTTCAGATAAATATTCTTGGCATCCTTTGCTTTACCAGGAACTGGAAACTCTGGCACGCTGTTCAATTAGAAAGGCGGTTAGAGAAAACCACCAGCTTTTATTCATGGGCACTTTGAAGAACGATGCTAATTGTACGGATCTCAAAGAGTTCCCGAAATTTTAATCTCCACAGCTGGGTCCATCACAATTACTAATTAGTAGCATAGTATTTCAGGCCTTTTCAGAGCTGTGAGAAAGCTTAAATTTTTGCTTCCAAAGTATTCTTAAATTAAACACTTTTAAATTCTAATAATGGGATTTTTCAATGCTGTTCCACCCATGGGTATTTAGGCATGTATTTAGCAAGTAAAAGTACTTCTCCAGGATCCACACATGCTGTCCTGCCATTGGGGTGGAAGTTTGCAAAGCAACTGCCTTTCCTAGAGCTCCCTGGCTCGTTGGGTGGGACAGATGGACTGTAGGAGGAAGGCTCCGCTTAGCCATGAAGTAAGTGTGAGCCAAGGACCATCTGGGGTTCCACCAAAGTGCAGAGCCTGTGTGTGTGTGGGTAGCCACCAGTGATCAACTCTTCCAACAGCTCCCCTGTGGGCCTTGTAAAGATGGGGGGGGGCTGGGTGGTGCACAAGCTTCTTTCAAGGGTGAAGGGATTTGGTTAACCAGAAGTCTGTGGGCCTACTTGTGGCAGTTGGTGTCAATAGCTCCCACGGTGGTTAGGGCTAGAGCTCTCAAATTCCCTTCAGACTGCTGGAGAGGGCCTATGTAGTTTTACTTACAGTCTTTGTCTTTCTCCTGGCCAGTTTGATTCCCTGTCTCTTGGGGTGTTAACTGAGGAAATTCCTCTTAAAGGGCTCTTGTGTTAGTTCCTATTGGGTGACTCCGGGGTCTGAGGCCCACACAAATAACAAGGGCAGGAGAAAGAGCTCTTTGCCTAGCAGGTGTCCCACTGTGGATGGCAATTGTGACAGGAGTGACTGGGTATCTCTATCCAGGATGTAGACAAGACACTCCGCTGTTTCTGATTCTTGGCACACAGAAACCTCCAAATATGTTGACTACTGAATGCTCAGATGTTACTAGAGATCCTTTTGTAAACAACATTACTACTTGAATAATTACTGAGAGAATCTTACTTCTGATTTAGGGTCTCATTTTAAAAATGAGTGGACCTGAGGCCCTGAAAACTAATGTTCTCAGATCTATGAGGCCATATCTATGACTTAAGTTTAGATGAACTCTGGATAGTGCTTAGTGCGATGATAGTAAGGCATGTTTGCTCTTCATAGTATCTCTGAGCATCTGGGAGAGCAGCTTCACTTAGGCAAGGCTACCCAAATGTGCATGTCTTCACAGGGATGCCATCTTTCTATTTGTCTAAAGGAATTGTTTTTTTAAGGGACTGTGTAATGATTTAGTGCACAGCTCTTGAATCAAAGTCTTTTGGCTCTATCATTTAATCTTGGACATGTACATTAATTCTCTACATATTAGACATGATGACCTGGGTTCAAACTTCAGGATGCACATGGGGGTGGAAGAGATTCAACTGCCACAACTGCCCACACACATCCTATGGCAATTCATTTATATATATATATATATATATATATATATATATATATATATATATAT